GGTAGAAATGATTCACCTGAATGAAGGTTATTTTGGATCTCTTGAATTTCATGCTGGAGATATTGCTATTATTGTTCTACAAAATAGAGTTTCTTTTAGTAATGGTGTTGCACCTGTTTGTATCGATTGGAGTGGTAAATACAATGTAGTCAATGGAGATCACGGAAAGGTTGGTTTGTAGTATTATTTAAATAATAAAATTGTGATTTATGTAACTCTTAATTATTGTAACTACCACATGTCGACCATTGTCCATCTGTATTTAAAGAACATATACGGTGAGATTCTATGCCAAAACAAGCATACAAATTGGCATGTTACAATGATACATAACTAAAAAGGTGGGCAACTATAATGAATGGTGTCAAATTAAAATTCAATGATATAAATATATAATATCGTACGGAAAACAATTCTGAGCAAATAGTGCCAGTTAGCCTATTTTATTACTATACATTTAAATAACACCAAACTTAATTAGATCGTTAGGTTTTTTATGAGATACGATAAATTATAATGTTGTCTGACTTTGAATTTTAAACAAATATAAACAAAAATTGTGTGTTTTTATTGTTTAAGAATTTTGGTGGCTGTATGAACTGCTTATAATATAATTCATTTTAAATTGTCAATCTTTAATTATAAATAATGACATTTTTATAAATAAGTATCTACAAAATAATTTGCAAGTGACCTCTTGTTAAATATTTAAGCTTTTTGACCTAATGAAAAATAATAAACTGATTGACATTTATATAAAAAAAACTAATACAAATTGAAAATTGAGAGTTATAACAAATCAACTAAAATTGATATTTTTAGTTTAAATATGTAATTTCATTAAAATTCGAACTTAAAAAAACTATAAAAAAGCTTTGTTCATATATTTTTCTTAATTTTTGGTTACAGAATTAGCTACTTATACATGCAACCTTGTTTTAAATTTTTCAACTCTACAGAATTCCTTTTAATTTTGTCTACCTTTATCAAAAAACAAATTTCTACCCGACAGTCATATTAAATTTTTATCAGCGTTCAAAGTTTTAATATTTACCACATTTCATATGCCTAAATTTATAACGTGCCGAATTTCTTATTTTATTGTAATTAAAAAATGAATAACTATAGATTATTGAAATGTACACCATATGTTTATTTTATCAGTTTATATACTTTTTAGTTTCTAACTTATAATAATTGGCGAATTTGAATGTCTGACGAGTTTTATCAAAAATTCTGATTTCAGATTTTTATAAAATACTATTGTTGATTTAAGAAAATCGTATTAAATGTTTAATAAAAACAACTTGTGAGGTACCTATATTTTTTCAATTAAATGATTTACAATGGATTAAAAATATAAACAATAATTCATATAAATATTAGTTAACTTTAAAGAATTTAAAAATCCAATTAGAGTACAGATTGGACGAATTAAAAGCTTTTAAAATTTGCTGAAAAAATAACTTTAATTTCATCAATTATAAAAACTAATTTAAATAATTATACATGTTATGGTACAAAAAAATAATAATCAACGAAACCAGTGGATTACTTCAGATATCATTAGCTCAATAAGAAAAAGGGATAAATTGTTAAAGGTACGAAACACATGGGAAATCTTGTATTACATTTTCAAACCTTGGATATTCATTGATAATTTTTATTAGTTCCTAATTATAAATAAATTGCAAATTCAAGTGTTTTTTGACGAATTTTGTCAATGTTCTATTTTCATACGTCCATAAAAAGCTATTTCGGAAATGCTCCTTTTGCCACATCTGCACATCGGTCAAAAGGGCGGTTGCTGTACCGAGCTGTAAAAGGAATATTACAGAGTGGTCCCCTCTAGGTTCGTCATTTTCGTTATTGAAGTTACAAATTAATTTGAGTAAGCAATAAAAAAAGCAACCTAACTTGCAGTTATTTTCCTCGAGCGATGACATCATATTTGGGCGGTGACGTATAGTGTTTCAAAATCATGAACACGTGCTAAATGTAATCAAAAAGTATTTCACAATTGCTTCGGTTGGTTTTGCCATGTGTAGCCTATATACCCTATATATGTGTGTATAAAACTTTGATCAATCAGAATTTATTTAACTAACTATTTAGTAATATACATTATATATGTTCCCAACACTTACATAAAAAGTGATTAATATAATACCTTAATTATAATTGTACATTATACAACTGTTTACTCTATTTTACAGATTGTTGGTTGGGGAAAAACTGAAAAAGGCATTTCAAGTCCTATTTTATTAGAAGCATCTTTACCATACATTGACCATAGTTCTTGCCGGAATATGTATACAAACGGATTTGAATTATTTGTGACTGTTGATAAATTTTGTGCTGGTTCTGAATTGGGTAATAAAATATTTAAATATTAATTAATTTGTTTAACCAACTTAAATTAAATTAATTAAACACAGAATATTTAAATTTAATGTAGACACTTTTAAAAATGAAGATGGACTTAATTTGTTCTAAATTAAATAATTACATTTTAAAATAGAAGTAATTAGTAATACGTATTTTACACATATCTAGCAGAATAAATATACGTTAGGCTCCACTTTGTAGTATCACAATACCAGATCGCCATTGACTTCGTACTTTATAGAGTTAATGATATAATATTCAAAATGTGATCTGGCTGGCAATGTTGAATTTTTTGAGGTACGACAATGTTTTCGTACGAATGTACAACAACATATGATTATCGTCTTAGTTCCATCCTTGTACACCTTATCGACTCATATAAAGTCATAATTCAGATTTGTAAAAAAAGTTATCAAAGACTCAAATTGTTGTAAAACCTACCCCAGTAAAATAAATTTAAACTTTAATTGTTAAATGCCAAACGATTGCATGGAAATAAATAATTATAACACCATGTTTGAGGTCGTTTATACTTTTGTCGAATTAAAACATAATGTTGTTCACATATTACAATACCTCACTTAAATCAGTTAATAGCTAGTCGTACGCCCTTCTGTTTATCAAAATATTTGATCACTACAGCAAAATTTGATTCTTTCCTACGTTAGTGACTTACACAACATATGTGGTTAAAATAATCTATATTACCTGTACTTATATCATTATATTATGCCTTATGTTATTTTTTATTATATTATAATGTTAATGGCCATCTATAGTATACAACAGTACCAAGTGACTGATGACTTTAGCATACACTTTTTTTGGAAGTAGCTGATGAGTTGAAGGTTTGATAATCACCTGATATAGTTTTAATTCGAATTTAGGTAATTAATAATAATTATGGTTTAAAATTCATTGAATTATCAGCTAACAATTTTTTCAACACAAATTTCACTATAACCTGTCATTGTAGAATAGTACTTGTACAAATCATTAAATGTAATTGATAGGATAAATCAGTATTGTACCCGCAACCCAATGACAGTAGTACGATTAATGTATGTGTTATTTATAAAATATTTTTAGTTTCAGGACAAGCACTGGGTGAGGGAGATAGCGGTGCAGGCTTATGCTTTTTATTCTCGGGTTCTTATTATTTAACCGGAGTAGTGAGTATAAAGGATCCAAATACAAAAAATTCAATCTCTGTTTTCACGGAAGTTAAATATCACATGCGATGGATTCGTGGGGTGTATAATAAGTATATCTTAGTCTAACGAGATTAGATAGGGTAATGTTTTTAAAATAATTTATTCATAATTGTGATTGCAATCAATATTTGTATTAAAATGTTTTTACTTATGTGTAACAATTTTAAACAGCATATACAATTCTCACTATTAATCACTACTCGGGCATTATATAATATGTATATATAATTGACACATTAAATTCGAACAGTTTTTACAATTTACCAATCTTGCACTGTTCATTCATTGTTTCATAATTTAATATCAGATACTCTAGGTATTGTACATTGTATTTGAAATAATTGTTGGTCGTAATATTACTTTTATTGATTGTACTGTTTAGTTATTACATTGACTTGGTTTTGTTGATGAAAACTTCTGTTTCAAAATTAACATATTTAAGAAAGAATTTATTTTTTAATCAATTTTTTAACAATTGAAGTTCATACATAGCATATGACAAAAATATTAATATGGTTACATTGTAACTATGTTGGTAACATTAGTTAACTTGTTGCTTGGTAAAATGTTAATGTTATTATTAATGTAGGTCAAAATACTTTTTGTGATATTTCAACTTATTTTTAGCAAAACAAACATAATAAGTACTATCTACAATATAATAAGGTATTAATCAATATATTAGATACAAGCCAAATACCACTCACTCATTCATTTGTCGCTTCATCTCAAAAACTACTGAACGTATGAAATTGAGAAAAGTAGTTCCTCTAATAATTTAGATGTGTACTTGTATGGAATGATTTTTCGATCTTTGCATTTTAAAGAGGCGATGAAAGTAGGTAATCAATTGAATTTGAAAAAAGTCTCAGTTTGTTTTTAAAAATTTCAGAAATGTTTAGAGAGTAAGTAGTTAAAACCACGTAAAAATATACCAAGAGATAAATCCGATCCACGACTTGCGTTGCCAATCTAAGTAAAATTATTGCACTAATTTATATTGTCCCTGGTTTGTCCTTTATCTCAGGTAAATTACTACTGAGATCGAGATTTTTTAACTTTTTATTTTTCAGCAGATATTTTTCGTAATATTTTTTATGTATCTAAACCACAATTTAAGCCTGTAGTTTTAGAGATATATAACTTTGTGTACTATAAGGATAATATGCGTAATGTTTATGGTAATGGATAAAGTTGACATGGGAGCCTAGATTATTTGGAAATGTTTTTAATTAATAATTACTATTGATCTATCAATACAAATAATTTTTTTGTTACGATAAAATAAGTATTTTAAATACTAGGATATCAAGTCTTGATAGAATATTTGTTATTTAAGGATTATTATCCTTAGTATAAAAATCTCATTCATTTTTTTTGTGTGTTTGAAGTTTAAATTATTACTACTTATTATATATTCACGAGAAAATATTTTTAATCTAGATTAAAAAAACATCTTTAAGGAATGTTTATGCTATTTAGATACATTATCAGATATCTGATTGAAATCATCGTCAATTCATTTCAGTTCTTATATTTTGACCCTTCTCTAAATTAAACAATTTTTAAGTTTTAAATATGTAATCGCTCAATCCGATCAGACCGATCAACCGGTCAGAAGAAAATTAGCATCAATCATGTAGCAGTATTTTGAATTTACACTGGACAACACAAGAAGAAAACACATACTGAGAAACACAACCTGCCCCTTGGCTTAATTTATTTTTCCAAATATAGTTTTAAAAAAAAATTACAATATAATTTTATATAATGAATATTAAATAATATGTTAACATTGGGTGCGCGGTGGACGATGATTTTGTGTTGCGCAACTTTGCACAAACCACATGCGATAAAGCGGTGAAACAATTAAACGAGTGTCTATAACACGATGTAGAGAAGATTTAATCTGCTAGACTCACTAGCACAAGGTGTTTTACACCAGGTACAAAACATTTTTTTGGCATTTTAAATTTATTTTCACATCAAAAAAGTAACTGATATACAAACAAGTTTTCAAACTTTAACGTTATTTAATAAAATTGAAGTGGTAGTAAGTTATTTTATCTACATTACGAATCATGAACTAGTCATTGGATTGATTAATAAATAATTTTATTACTGGTATTATATGAATGAATTCAAAAATAATTTTTAGATTCTGATCGGAGCAATGAATGTACTTATTTATTTTACAATTTGTGTGTATTTTTTTTTGTGTCTACTCTTTTGAGACTATAAAGTGCTTCAATTTTCAACTTCAGCATCTTATATGGTAGAAAAATGAATCGAGTTGGTACTTTGAGGGGTCTTACGGAAAAAAGTTACTGAAAAACGAAGATTTTTAAGTAAATTCAGTTTTCAACAAATTATTGATTTTGATTTTTGGTGTAACCCTATAAATTATAGTATTACTATTGACACATAACCATTACATCGAATGTTTATATTAGAATTTTCTATACATTATAAAATTTTCAAAATATTTTTACTCTTTTTGAGCTGTTTATAGACACCAGAAAAACTCAATTTTTAGTTATAATTTCTAGTTGTAATTATTATATTAAAATATATCAATAACTCATTGACAAATTGATCAATGAATGTTCAAACCTATTTAACAAAATATGTGATTAAAACAATAAATCCTAATATAAGTTTGCCCCTTGGGTTTTTTTTTTTAAATTCGAGTATATAGTTAAATATATATATATTTAAATACATTTTTAAATATCAAATAGTGCATTTACACATTACAACTTAAAATAAAATAAGCCCTCAGGTGAATGGTGGCGTACTCTGTTGAGAGATTTCCGAAATCCTGGACTGCCGTACATTTTGGCGTCCGTTTTGTTACATTGTGATATAGGGAAGTAGTATCACTTATTATCTTCTTTACATCGCAGCTTATAGATGTATACACGTTAATCATGGTGGCTAGCTACGAGCTATAATTTTATTATACCGTGGGGGTAATCCAACCGAAATCGTGCTAACGCACAAATATATTCTATTATCAATTTGTATGTTCGTTTGTCTTTAATTGCGATGCGACTTTTTCGTTCGTATTTTAAAATATTGTAAAACTTATTAAAAAATATAATTTTATTTAAAATTGACTACATTATTATTCTTTATGTAGCTTTTTCTGTTTATATTTCCTATACTAATCCGGCTTTTGGTATTCATTCAAAATTAATACAAAATAAGACTCAATATAGTACCTACAACTTACAAGTATTAACTACTAATATTTTTTTAAAAATGTGACACACGGATAAAATGGTTAACATAGTTTAGCAGTGGAAGGGAAACTATATTCAATATTATATTTTAAAAAAAATGTTACAAATATCTATTACTATTCCTGTGACTTGTTATTCTTGTGAAAGGATATTGGCCTTTAATATAAACATTGACGAGGTGTGTAGTCGAACAACATTTAAAATATTAAGTCGTTCCGAAAGAAGAATGCAAGGTACTTCGACGAAGTTATCAACTTTGTGTTTATTAAAGTTTTGTAAAGAATTTGTTTTCTTTTTTTCTTTTATATATATATTATTATTATATAAATAAACTTTGAAATTTCAATTATTACATACAATTTGTTGGCAAATTAACGATAAGTAAAATTAAAATACTTCCATTACTAATATTAATTGAATTAACTGATAACGAAAATAATATTCAAATATATAACATATAATTTATAATAATACTAGCTGATCCGGTGCACTTTGTTGCCTTTTAAAAATGCAAACTCTATACCATGAGACTCACTGGTGATAATGTGAGCAGTATAATATTTCGAGGTATTCAATCCACTGTAGGTGGATTGCGGACCCCAATTGATGAGTACTCTATATAAATAATATGTTTTATTTGTATTAATTTTCATTTTGATTGCGGACACGTAGGTAGATGAGCGGCTATAAGTGCAACTGCTGACCTTGGTACGAAAATTCAATTTGATAACTTAATACTTAATAATACTTGATTTGCCCGATTCCACTGGCAACCAATATAAACAAAAAAAATACCAATTTCTACTAAATATGTTTATATTTCTCCTATAATCAATAACAACCATTTGTCTTTTCAATATATAAGATGTTTATTAAGCCATGTTTACTAAGTATTTTTTGGCCAATGATGTTTCTCATCATGTTTTGGGGACTAGAGGTGACGAACAGATGCAAACAAACGTCCACCCAAAGCTGAACTCATTGAAATAGTTAGAAAAATGCCATAAATATAGAATACATACCAATTGTGAAATGAGAAAATTAAGTCTATTACAAATAAAAAATGTAAATGGGCTTCAAAATTGTCGATAAATAGTAATATTAGTTGATGAACACAATTTCATTAATAGTTTTAATTCTGCCTTTAAATCATCGCAGTCAATATTGTTGGTGTTTTAAATTTTTTTTGTTTATTATTCGAAAATTATGAGAGGAGATTATATTCTGTTATTATGATACTGTCATCACTCATCACTATTTGTGATGTCAAATGGCACTGATTAAAAATGTTTGATTAATCCATTAATATTTTTTCTTTAGTTAATCGTTTAAATTATTAAGCTTTTTTTTATAAAATAATTTTTACTTTATCAATCTTAAAATGTTTTTCGATAATATTTTTCTAATTAATTTATACATTACCCAGCGGTGTCTTTCCCTCTTAAATTTTGAGAGCGGGAGGAGTTTAGAGTTAGGTTAGACCTATCTTTTCGACAAGCCAAGATTATTCGCTACAAATGGAATATATAGATAATTAAAAACTATAAATATCAAACATTACTTCGTTTTATTTATTATATGATTGTGCCTTATTATTTAAGCATAAATATACCATTATACTACTTCATAATAATTAATCCTATTGTACTTGTTTAACTCAATACTGATTTAAATATTCCTAAATTAAAAACATGTTATGAACTTGATAATGTAATTGTAAATTTTTGTGTTAAATTTAAAATTAATCCTCAAAACTTTTATTACTTTCATCAGTTGTAAAAACCTATTGTTGCCATTCTTTTTAATATTATGTATCTTAGCATAAGTTTATTAAAGCACATTAAACATTAAAATGTCATTCTTATTATTGTAGATACACATTATTAGAATTATGATGAATGTTTTGTTTTTCATTTATCTTGTTACTTATATTCTTTAAAATGTACTTACCAATATTATTTTTTATATTAATTCGTATCATACAACTTCATATAGTATATATCAATGTTATTATTTATGGTTGATGCTATTTCCATCTTTGTTTATTGTATAACTTATTTTTATTAATTTAATACTTTTATGAACTCTCACTTCCACACAGCTAATGGCTTGGAAGTGAGCAATAAGAGTAACTAAATTGTTTTCTTATAAATTGTAAAAATATAGTCAGAAAATAAATAAATATTATTATTATTATTTGACGTAGTAGTTTGAACAATATAATCAATTTTAAAACAAGTTAGCAAATCACTTATTTTTTGATTACACTGCTACCACTTACCTGTACGTAGTTTGTCCTTCGGTCGATCCTATGATCGCAAATAATAGCTGGTAGGAGGAACATATATTAATATCAACATCGACGGCATACCAGCATCATAGTTACGTGTTGTAAAGTTGTAATGGTATTATTATTTACTATTTATTATAATATTGATAATGTTGAAAATTAATAAATTCTCTACAGATATATTCAGTGTTTATTGTAAATTATAATATTACAGTTTATTTTAGTTACCTGCATGTTAGAAAATATACTGTAAACTTTTTTTTAGTGTCTAGTGTCGTTAATTTGATAAAAATTTTTCTTAGAAACGTTTATTGTTTATATTGTTTAATATATTTGCTTTAACCTAAGCCCACCATCAACAATGAATTTGAAGTATTCCTGGATAATATTATATCCATGTTTATTTTTCGGTACGTAATATCAGGTATAACAATGTAGTAATACATTGAGAATCAGGTTTTTATGACATTATTCTAGGATAATATATTTAAATATTTAATATATCCGAAAAGTTTAATAAATGTATATATATATATATAAAGTAAAGAGATTTTAATTCAATACTACAATATTATTATGTCTCAGTAATTTTTCGAAAAAATAATCGGTCATTAAATTTGAATAAGAATAATTTTCGATTTAGTTAATTTATTCTAAACTAACTATACAAAATAATATAATGTTTTCAATTTTTTAATTTATAATAATATAATATGTTAATGTATTGTGCGTGCGTATTCTATGCAAAAATGGTAACTCACCTATTCTCTGTTTCACATTTTCGCGCTTGCGGCCTGGCGTCAGCGGTCGCTCCGAGGCTCCGTTCCCCCCACTATGTGACAGAGTGATGTATTATCCTCCATATACCATACGTAAATACAATTTTTTTTTTTAAATATGTACGAAAACAAAAATACATTGAATTAATGATATTAATGGTTAAAAATGGTACACACTTTAGTACTATAATAATACTCAGTGTCACATATCTCGCACTCGCAGCCACCATATTATTTGTGCTGTTGTCGACGACATCGCACGACCAGTGTCGCTAGGGCTGGTAAAGTGGTGGGAATGCGCGAAAAAAGACGGGTTTTGGTCGCCACCGGGTGTACTTCTCTCGTGGAACAAAGTGTATAACAAAGCATAATTCCGAAGGTGATGTTTAATTATTTGATATAATCTCTTTATTAAATACAGCATTTTTTTTTATGAATTACCTAATATATGCAATCATATCTTATGATATAATTACTAATTAGTGTCATAATCTAAATTGAGAAAATAATGAAGGTGCATCTTCAATAGTATGTTTTGGTATGTTCTGTGCCTCCAGCAAATCCTGTGAAGCCACTTAACCCGTGAAACCTATTATTCGATTTCGAGCTATGTTATCGCTTACGTGCCCAACCATACCCTCTCCCCTATCACCTAGACCATCACATACATGCCCAGCCATAACCCATCCCCTCTCCGAGGACATATGTATAGTGATCATGCTTTGCAGCCTAGTGACTCCCACAATTGAATATACACCTCATCCTACCAGAAAAGATTAGGCCTAAGGTTAATTAACCTAACCTAACTTAACCCACACAAGATTTCTCCCACTTTTTGACAGGAATTTAATACGGTGTTGTCGGCCATAGTCCGATTGTGTACGGTTTATATTTTTATTACGATTTACGAGATTTTGTCGGTCGTATGGATTAACTATACAATTACATTTATTACTTATTTTAAAACCATAATTTTCTTTTTATAATTATTTTTGAACAAGACGTACATTAAAAGGTTTTTATAGAAAAAAATGAATTTTTATTTAATTTAAAAAATCAACAGGAATTGGTGGTAAGTTCAAAGTTGTGTCGTATACGCATCTTTCAGTGGTATACCTCTATCGATACTTGAGTTACCAAAATACCATAAATTAACCGATTACATATCAGATTTGAAAGAATACAATTTACGTAGGACTACCTTCACCGTTTAAACCTTAAATCCTCAACGATCTTAAATCAAATTTAAGGAGTACGGTAGAATCGTGTGACTACTCAAACAAAACATATAATTTTATTGGTCGGAAACACTTTTATTAAAATATAAAACAATTACTTTAGAAAAAAACACTTAGCCCGTATACGGTCGTCGCTCTCCGGGTACGATCTTTGTACTCGCGCTCGGTCGAATTTCTCGACGATTACACGACCCACCGTCCGTGCGCGTGGCAGTGTTACATAGTACATTTTTTGTCACTTCAGCACATCTCGTTTCACAGGCATGATCTATTCTAATATCTTAGTGGCTAAAAACTGTTCCCATCTATAATACATACATATATAAAAGCGCTTTATTGTGCATTTGTACGATTCCACCTCGAATACGGGGTAGTGATCTGGGACCCTCAGAATTTACGTGACTCTTTTCAAATCGAGCGTGTTCAGCGTAAATTCTTAAAATTTGCTTCTTTTGTACTTCGTATTGACTGCCTTCCACATGATTATACACCAGTTCTAGTGAAATTAAATATGAAGACGTTGAGTGCTAGAAAAAAAAATACTAATTTGGTTTTCTTATCGAAACTTTTGAGTGGGGAAGTTGACGCTCCAGATATGTTAGGGAGGGTTAATTTTAATGTTCCCCGTGCTAATTTGCGCTACTTTTCTCTTTTCCGGGTCCCTTTCTGTGCGACAAATTACTTATATAATGAACCCATTTTTCGTATGATGACACTAGCTAATGGATCTAATAACATCTAAACATCTTCTTGTGTGTAATTATTTTGTGTTACATTATTATCTGTTAATATTATGTATGTAATAGTGTATTATAATCTTGTTAATTATTAATGTTATATAAATGTCAAGGGCCTATCCCGTTTACTATTATAATAAATAAATAAATAAATAAATAAATATATAAAATAATATTATGCCTAATATAAGACAGTTGTGATAGTGGAAAATGAAGGAAATATTTGTACTCCGCCTTCAATGAACCTCACAAGCTGCTACTGCTACAATGACTATACTATACAATGCAAACTTATATATGTACATGCATGCATAAATATTAGTCATAACGCAGTGACGCACCATTATAAATGTCTAATAAAGGTTAACCTAACATAACCTTTTTTTTTCGTGGTATCGAGAGCCGGAGGCAGGACTGCTGTTGGCATTACTTTCCCTCCGGCCCCCATCGTTTATTGTAAATAAAAATAATACATTGTAATAATATCATACAAATATAAGAAGCCCTCGCGACCTGGTGACTTTCCTTAGCGATAGCTAGTATATATGAGACCTCCAAGGAGCGAACTCGGAGGGCTAGCAATCAATGTCTTTCGATATACAAATTGATAACATACAACTAGTTACAGTTACGATTTACAGTTATTTTTAGTCGGTGGCTCGGTGCCTTCTCGACCCAGCTCGCTAGCCCGCCGGTCTCGATAACGCGTTCTGAAGTCTTCTCGACCCGGCTTGCAAGCCCGCCGGTCTCGAAGTCGCGTACGTTGCTCAAACGTCCTCCTATCCTATCACCTTGCCTCAGCTTCCTGCCTCATCCATTTTCGTTGCTCTTTCAGAGTCAGGATTGATTCGACCACACGGTAAACAGCCGGAAATCCTCCTCGGCTTCCCGCAGTAGAAGGTGTTTCTCCCTGTCATCGGTCGGCAGGTCTTCGAATGCTGGACCACACAGTATCTCCGGGAGATCCTCTGTGCTGGGCGGTTTGCTCAATCGGGAGCCGAGTTCTAGCCTGTGGCCACTGAAAAACGTGCACTCAAAAAGTGTGTGGCCCACGGAGTCGTTTTCGTGGCCACAGTGATGGCATTGAGGTGAAGCGGCCCTGCCCATCCGGCACAGGTAACTCTGGAAGCAACCGTGCCCTGTCAGCGCCTGCGTCATGTGGAAGGACAGTGGCATCCACGGCACGGTTCTTCCGTGCCATCTCTTCACGTCTGGCAACACCTTGCGTATCCAAGATGCTTTGGTCGTTGTGGACCACCGCTCCTACCACAGGGTGATCGTAGCATTGGGCTCTTCCCTCTTTATCCTTGCCTTGGACGTTGGGCGCATGTCCGGAGAACCTAACCTAACCTAACGCACCACGTATGTTAAGTTAGTTCCCACCATGACCGATTTATTCGAAAATGATGTATTCATTTTGCGAATAATTTGCAAACATTTGAATTCGGTTTTCAGAATTTGAAAATCAATATTTTTTTTTTTTGGCGAGTCTTCCAATTATTTTTTGCCTCCCCCCTCTGAATTTGTCCGATCTTAGTCCAATATTTTGCAAATTAATTAATTTATGAATGAATAAATTTAATTTTGAAAAAAAAAATCTTTATTGAATAAAAAATCTAAATTGAACAGAAAAATCTAAGTTTGACAAAAAAAAAATCAAAATTCGCAAATAAATTTGCAATTAATTCTCAAAATATTGGCGACGTTTACTACTAGATTTTGACACAACCAGGGTGCAAAAAGACGAAACTGAACGGAAAAAAAAAGAAAAATACGAGAAATAGGTGGGACGAATAACGAGTCGAAATTTCTTAAGTCATAAACTGAATATGAAAACAAACGGTACACTTTAAACGTCGTGAGCTAAGCATATAAAATAGAAACGATGACGAAAAATCAAAGAAAAGCCAAAAAATCTTGCGCAAAGGTGAAAATTAGATAGGACAATAATTCATAATAACAAAAATAATAACGATAAAGTGGATGCGAAAACCTTGGATGAAACGCAATTGGTAACCTCACCAGTTCCAGCTTTTTAGCGGATTATATAATACTGTTAATAATTTTAATTTCAAAAGTTATAATATTTCACAAGTGAAACAATTTCCTATCACAACATGTTTGCCCTAAATGAGGTCTGATTAATTATCAACTGACAAAAAAAATTCTAAAAATTAAACATTCACTCCATAATATTCGTCGGTAACTACTAACGAAAGTGCTAATAACAAAATTAATTTGTTCCTATAATAATATATTTTATAAAATAATATAAGTAAGCGATTACATCGAGATAGAAATTGAAAGTGCTAAATAAATAACCTAACCTAACCTGCGAATGAAACCTTTCTTGTGGTTCCTTTTTTCCATTTTATTGTGGTCAAAACTAATGTCTCACAGAAGTACTGCCAGCCCCCATATTACTCACAAATGCATTATACATAAGGTTACAAAATATTATATAATATTTTATGTTATTATTCAGTGCCACACTGAAAATGCAGTATAATCAATAACAACTTAATCCAATGAACATTGTTAACTGAACGTATTTAATACATAAACATTCATTGTTTCAGGATCCGGCATTTCCTGTGACAGAAAACTCGTAAGACGACAAGTTGTATCATCTTGCTCAGTGTTAGTGACTGTAGTCTGTAATACAAATGAATATGTTATTATTTGGTCTAGGATAGTATAGGATTTACAGGACATAGCTTTTAAGCACAAAATGTGATTTGGTCATATACGAGTCCAAATTTATAGTTTTTTTTTCCTTTTTTTTTTTTTGCATTTTTTGTACTTTTATGGATTTAGGGTCATTTTGAAGCATTTTTAGGTCATTTTTTCAATTTCACGATATTCATATATTTTGTTTATATTATTTGGTTATAATTGCTTATAGTTGTATCAAATAATATGTTGCACATTTGAATACACTTATAGAGACACTGAGGATAAGTTTTATTGTTCCAATGGACTGCGTATTGAATGGTCGTGGATTTGTGATGGTCGTAAGGATTGTTCAGATGGTTCAGATGAAACCAAAGAGCTGTGTGCTCGGTATGAGTATGGGACAAATATGACCACAAGTAAAAAATAATATGACATTTAATATTATTTATATGTTTGTGTAATAACTAATAGATGCTGGAGTTACGCATATTAACCTAAATATGGAGCTTCTAATATTAGGTAGATTTAATATGTAACTAATATTGTTATAGATTGCGGTAAAGTGTATGGCAATGACAGTGAATTGATTGACAGTGGTACAGAATCACTTGTCGGAAAGTTAACATGGGTGGTTGGAATATATGAATTATCTGACGATATCAAAAAAAATATTATTACTTGTGAAGGATCAATTATTGCTCCAAATGTAGTAATTTCTGGTAAAATCCTTGTACAATGTATTTAAGAAGAAATTATCATTAATTAAATAATGTTTTTAGCTGCACAATGTTTTGAGCAAGAAGGTATGTTATCTAAGCAAATATCAGTAAAGGATAGACCATACGGAATCGTAGTTGTAGGATATCAAGATAATTCTATTGTTAAAGATCACTATACTCAAGTAGCGATCGTAAGTTATGAATAATTTAAACCCTACAAATAATTTATATGAAATGCTTAATATAAACTCAAACAATTTTATAGGTGGAAATGATTTACCTGAAAGAATGTTACCTTGGATCTAGTGGGTATCAAACTGAAAATATAGCTGTTATTGTATTACGAAATTCAATTACCATGAATTATTATGTTACCCCTGTTTGTATCGATTGGAATAGTATATATAATGTTAAAAATGGTGATCAGGGAAAGGTAATTATGTTGTGCTATATATTTTATAGTTTTATTAAATAGATACAGCGAATAATTTGAAATTGGTTGTCTGGTTTATTTTCTACAATGTAGTGGTCGTGGGAGTTAATGGTTATGTTATCTTCAAAAGTTAATACATTTTGATAATAGCTTAAATCGATGATACATTTCGGAAACCAACTGTTAATAAGTTACAAATTAATCTCAAAAACTTACAATTTACCAAGTAAGTTTTGGTCAAAATGGGAAAGTTGTGTGAATATAGACCCTTTAAGTTCATTAACGTCACAATTTCGCTCTGAGGAACGTACAAGCTTAAAAATAAACTTAAGTTTACTTTTCAGACTGAGTTTTGCCTTATTAACAATTTGTCCGTTGTAATGTGAAAATTAATATGAACAAAATGGTCTACATTGCATGTTTGCACATTCCCAATGCCTCGTATATTTTTTGCCATCGCCAGTGCTAACTGCTCGGGATTACATTTACACTCTTTTCACAGAAGAAAAATAACTTTTGTAAAATCCCTAAACACTATTCTTATTAGAATCTAACCTATTATAATAATTTTTTTTGCAAATTTGTTGACTTCATATTTTGTTTCTACTTGATAATTCATTTTTACCGAGCCATCAACCAACTGTTAAGCTATCATAGTTTAGGAGAAAAGTTAAAAAATAGAAATGTTATGACTGTTCACCCCGACGTTTTTGTGGATTCAAATCGTTTTACCGATTCGGTGTGATATCTCCCTCATTACGTAATATGTTATATTAAAACTAGCTTAATGACTCACCTACTCATTATTGCGCATACTGAGTTACATTTTTATTATTTTCCTATTTAGCACCAATTCTTGAAGTTTTAAAAGTTCACACTTTTTTTATTTCAATTACTATACTTACTTGTTTATAAATCAAGAGAGTAAAAAAGTTAGATTGGGTTGGGTAAAAACATATACATAACGGAATGCTTGTAATATACCTTTATTATAATTTTACATTAAAACACTTTTTCTTATTATTACAGATTGTTTTTTCAAATATTGACACCATAAATGGCACAAGTAAATTTGTTTTAATAGACAAACTGATTCAATACATCGACCATACTACTTGTCAAAAAATGTATTCCAACGGATTTCTACAGTTTCTGACTTTTGATAAGTTTTGTACAGATAATAAATTGGGTAACACAAGTTTAGATTTTAATCGTAGTGATGAAAGTACCTATTGTTTGTACAATGATTTGTGTTTTTATAAGTAACCGAAATAATGGATCTAGGACGTTACGGCGTGGGCGATTCGGCGCCGACAGTTCGGCACGGGCGTTTCGGCGATAAGTCAATTTGACGATGTCTGTTTCGGTACGTGACCGTTTTGGTGATACGGCAATTTACTTATATGTCTGTAACATTGTCTCACCGTATGGAATGTGGTAAAGAAATGTTATCTTTACTACTATAAGTTTATTCATGACTACACTATAAGATGGTCGCGATAGTCGATATGGATGATCTGATGATCGTAGACCGGTCAGATAATTTTATAATTTTTAGTTAGTCGACGGAAAGTAAAGTACGTATACGTAGTAAAATATTGTGCTTGTAATTTGTTTTTTTGTCCATAATGTCAGAAGTAAAATCAAAAAGAAATAAAAATGTGATCCCCGTGGATGGTTATTATATATGTATATATTCGATAAACTTAGTGCGGATGAAACTGAACGGTTTTGGTAATGTCGTCTTAAAGATTTGTCTTGTCCGGCTCAAATACATACCGGTATACATGATTTTAAAGTTTTAAAATTTTCTGCTTAAAATCATTATCATAATTCTGAAGCTGCTAGAATAGAAGCAGACACAGTTTTAACGAGTATCCGCCAACGAGCTATTTTAACAATGAAACCCACGTCTAGTATAATTAACGAATGTGTTAACGGGTTATCAGATGCGGCAACGGTGTACGCATTATATTTTATTTTTCTGTTATTAAAATAAGTTCATGGCATATTATACTATCCCTATCTGGTCCGTACTGTAATAAATAAATACTTTAACTTATAGGGCGTTTTACAATCTTCCGAAGCTCTAAAACGACAAGTGCAACGTATAAGAAATAATGAAATAGCAGCTACATGTGATCCATCCGATTTATTATTTTTATAGACACCCAGTGAATATAAAATTTATTCACCATTAATCGGTGTTAATGAAACATTTTTATTGGTTGATAGTGGGCCCAGCAACGAAAGAATATTAATATTTTGTTCACCGTTTGGTCTCAAGTTATTAAAAGATTCGAAAACATGGTATACATGGATGGAACTTTCAAAGTGGCACCTACTCTATTTTGCCAAATGCATGTTATGTTAGCTGAATTTTTAGGGGGAGTGCATCCTTGCAGTGTATGCATTGTTACCTAACAAAAAAGAACAAACATATGTACAATTATTTAGTATGATTAAACAATTACAACCTGATCTCCATGCAACATCACTTTCTTATGATTTTGAACTTGGTGTCATAACTGCAATAAAAAATTCATTTGAGAATATAAATATTTTTGGATGTTATTTTCATTCAAGCCAAAATTTTTTGAAAAAAGTTGGAGAGTTACATTTAATATCAAAATATAATAATGAAGCAAATTTTTGTGGTGCAACCATACCCATTATTGCTTTGGCGTTTATACCATTGTGTGATTTAGATATTGCTGCAGATGAGTTGGTAGACGAACTTTCAGATGAGCTTATACAATTATTTGAGTGGTTTGAAGAATTTTACATTGGGAAGAAAAATCGACGTATAGGGCGAAGAAAACCAAGATATTCCCATGAGATGTGCAATCTTTACCAACGAATATTGAATGATTCAGACCGGACGAATAATCACGCAGAAGCGGCAAGTCGACGATTAAATATTCAAATGGGTACTCATTCAACGATATGGACCTTCATTGCGAATCTCAAAAAAATTCAAGCCGAACGTGGTACGCACTATGAAAATCTTGTGTCGGGAAATAGTCCTCCAAGGACGTTGAAAAAATTTCAAGACACAGATAAAAGAATAAAAAGGTTGGTAAATAATTATGATAGGCAAAATAAAATGATATTTCTAAGAGGTATGGCAAATAATATTGCTTTAAAATAAAATTGTAGATAATTTTTTTTTTTATATATTGGCTAAATAATAATGTTATACCTATATGTTTAACTTTATTAACTAGGTATAAATAATTATAACTATTTTGATTTATTTATTTACGATTTAAAAGGACTGCGGTATAAATTTATTTTACTGCTATTTATTGTTGTATTTATACATTTTTAACCAAATTAACTTTTTTTTAATTATTAAAAATTTTTTTTTTTCTATTAATTTTCGCCGAAAGGTCAAGCGTCGAAACAGATATCGTCTAATTGACTTATCGCCGAAATGTCCGCGCCGAATTGCCCTCGTCGAAACGTCTCATTCCCCGAAATAATGTTTCAATTTTTAACATCAGTATTTTTTCCAGTGAGTAATTGAATTTAGTTGATGCATTTGTTAGGTAAAAATTTAAAATTCTCGGTAGTTTTTAAAAGTGACTTGAAAATCAAAAAAAAAAAAAAACTAAGAAAAAACTGGAATCTTTTGGTTTTCGACTAAATCGATTTTGGTTTTCAGTGTAATTCCAAAATAAGTGACCGTAGAATGTAGATACATGCAATTTTTTATTGAATGTTTATATTAAAATTTTCAATGCACCAGAACATTTTCAAAATATTTTGACTCATGTGGAACTATTTATAGGCATAATATGAAATATTCAATAATAAGTTTTTTTTAAACCGATGTCGATAAAATAATTGTTGCTCTGTTAAAGAACTCAAAAATGTAACACTAGGTTCCTCGTAGGTTTTCGATTCTGGAAATTAAAAAAAAAAAGTTGAGCTTAAAACCACAATATTTTTTTATGAATATTTGAATTTAGAATTTCGACAAAACTCTAAAAAATCACGAAACTTTTGCAAATTATTTTGAGATAGAAATACATAAAAAATTTTCTCTTTTATCTATAAGATTTAAATATTTAATACAGGATTATTCTAACCTTTATAAAAAAAAGAATATCTACTTTAAAGTCAGATTAAATTTTTATGAGCGTTTGAATGTTCAAAATTTTACAATATAGGATATTCACTAGATTTCTCATGGAACAGTTTTCTTATTTTGTTGTAAAAAATGTACACTGTTATCCTTTAATTAATTTTGAAATTGATATGAAGCCAAACCTGCTCCGCGATGTACTCTATTATTTGAAAAAAAATCAAGATAATTGGTTGAGTAGTTTCATAGAACATGGGTGATACAATTTTCAATTTCACATTTATATATATTATTTATAAATTTCATTAAAATGTTGTTCGTTAGATCAAAAAGATTGAAAATGTAATACAGGATTTTTGATATATTGTTACAATAATAGTTAAAAAATACTAAAAATTCAAATTTTTTTTACAATCATTTAAAGTTCAATTTTGACAACATTTATTAAATTACAAATTTACAAATTAATTTGTACTTACAAATTTATAAAAGCTTCATCTTTTGTAGGTAAGGGTTGGAAATTTGAAACAATGTTGTTGTAAGTAGTTAATCTGTAACCAAATAATTAAAAAAGTATACAAGTACAGTTTTTTCATAGTTATTTCCTGGGCATTAAACAGGTTTCAAAAGTACTTTTAGAAATCAGTATAAATCGTTAGAAATCGAAATCGAAAACAAAACCAAGCAGGAAAAATTGGATACCTATATTCAATTCGAAATCTGAACAGGAACAAATTGGAAACTGGTGTTCAATTCAAACCCGAAATCAGAAAAAATTAGAAACCTTTATAATAATTCAATGTCTTAAATATTGAACCATAGAAATATTTTTGTTCTAGGTTCCTTAAAGCTTTTAATTTGAATAATGAAATCTAAAAAAGAGATACCAAGGGAATGGGAGACAGAATTAGTCTAATCCATAAACAAGAAAGGGTACAAACGAATATGCAACAATTATAGAGGAATTGCGATGCTTAACGTTACTTATAAGATGTTATCTTATTTTATACTAGATAGAATCAAACCTTGGTTAGAAGGGATTTTAAGAGACCATCTGAATAGATCCAGAAAACCGCTCTACGATAGATCAAATCTTCATCATACGAAAAGTATTACAAACAACTTGGGAATATAATAACAGCGGTGCATATGTTATTCATCGGTTATAAAAAAATGAATATGACTTAATACATAGTGTGTCTCTAGTAAAGACGTTAGAAGGGTTCAGAATGCTACAAAAGCTAATAAACCTCATAGAATATAGCATCGGTTAAAGTCACATTAAAGTTAAAGTAGGACAAACCTTATCGGAGACAATACAAGAAACAACTGGACTAAGGCAGGGTGATACTATATCACATAGCCTTGGAAAAAGTATTAAGAGAAACAACTCTAGAAGAGGAAGGTGTAAAACTAGTAGAAAATAACATTAAAATCTTAGCATATATGGACGAAATAGTCTTGATGGCAGAAAGCAAAGATAAACTCAAAGAATAATTAACAATTTCATAAATGCTTCAAAACGTATAGGCTTAAGGATTAACTCCGAGAGAACTGATTTATAAATAAGTAAAATTAAATAAAAAATATTACTGTCCCTCATCCACACTCAAAATTTAGGGGATTTTCAACTTTGCACAAAACATGTTTATTTTGTGTCTTTGGTATAAAATATCTTGTTTCAGAACAAATTATAGTTATTGAAAATACCGGGTAAGACATACACTTTTTAAACTTTAATTCATATGATTTAACCTATTTCTTTGTTTCCATTTTTTTTTTTGGCGGGGGAGGGGATATTCGTTACAGTTATCTTTCTGTTTTTCTTAAACACTATTATTTAAAAAGCCGTTAATTTATGAATAAATAAAAATAAATAAAAAATGTTGCCCTCCCTTTTCCACCCCGAAAATGTAACGGATCACCATCTATGCCCACTACCCAACAATATTAATGTGTTTAATTTACGTCTTATGTATAAAATATCTCTTGTTTCAGGACAAAGCATGATTAATGCATATGCTGGATCAGGTATAAGCTTTTTACACGATAATTCTTATTATTTAACCGGGATACTAAGTGTTACGAATTATTTAAGCAACGATACAGTCATAGGTTTCACAGACATCAAATACCATGTTCAATGGATTCGTGGAATTTTAAATAAACATGTACATTTATTTATATATTGGCATTACTCCGGGCAGTATTTTTAAATTTTGATTTATTGTATTGGCTTGGTTTTTTTAATGACATCAAAACTAAAATATTTTAGAAATAATAAATTTATTTAACATGTATGTTTTTAACAGTTTACAATGAATATATGCGTTTTACCAATCGTTGAAGGTGTTGTATATTCTTATGAGGGTTCTAATGAAATTTTATCTCACGGCACATTAATTAGTCAGAAAGTTACTGTTATTGAGAATTGTGAAGTTGGATATCATAAGGCTTATACCAATGGTTTTAGGATTTGTCTGGGAAAAGGAAAATGGTTATCCAATTTTGAGAAATTATGTTTGAGTAAGTAGTGTATAGTAATTCAAATGTTGTAATAATTACTTATTTATTTATATATTAAAAATCCATAATGTGGTGATGTTTGATTATAAATTATTTACGCTTTTAGAAATGTGTCCACCTCTAGAATCAAATAGTTTAGATATTAAATGTAGTCATAATGGTAAGTATGCTAATTGTTCAAATTTATCTATACCCGATACAATAGCAACAGCATCTTGTAAGCAAACATATATTGCACCGCACGGAGAAGATCTGACTCCATTTGAATTACTTTGTCAGTCGAATGGAACGTGGAATAAACAACTATATAGATGCAATCCATGTAATTGTATTTTTTTTTCATATAAACATAAGTCTTTAATTTAAACAATTTATTTAAATTCTACAAATGCTTTTGTATATATTATAAATAATACCTATGATTGAAGAAAAACAAATAACCGTTGGTTATACTTGACTGTGTACATTTTTAAACCGTCATAAATATGCATATCTTATATGTATTATAACTTATTAATTATTATCATGTACATTTATTTTAAAATATTATTTTAGATTGTGGTAGAGAATATATAACAAACAAAGTATTAATCGACAATGGTGAAAAAGCACCTGTTGGAACTGCACCTTGGAATGTCGGGTTATATCGCTTTAATAAAAATAATTCCAATTATGATTTGATTTGTGGAGGATCAATTATTTCTCCAAATTTAGTAGTTTCTGGTAAAATCTGTGTAAAAAGTGTAAAAGAAAGAATGCATTAATTAAAAACGTTTTTAGCGGCTCATTGTTTTTGGCCAAAAGGCATGTTATCTAAAAACTTTTCAATAAACATCAGTTTATACAAAATTGCTGTCGGAAAATATTCTAGAGATTTTTCAGTAATTGACAATGATTTTACTCAAATATTTAATGTAAGTTGTTCTAATTCTAATTCTACAAATAATTGTTGTGATGTGTTTAATATAAATCAAAACATTTGTGCAGGTAGAAATGATTCACCTGAATAAAGATTATCATGGACCTACTGGGTATCATGCTAAAGATATAGCTATTATTGTTTTGCAAAATAGAGTTTATTTTAGTAATGGTGTTGCACCTGTTTGTATGGATTGGAGTGGTAAATACAATGTAGTCAATGGAGATCACGGAAAGGTTGGTTTGTAGTATTATTTAAATAATAAAAGCTGTATGATTTTGTGATTTTTATAACTGTTAATTTCTAAAGAGCATACCTTGTGATTTCTTTCTAAAGTACCCATACATATTGGCATGATTCAATTTATAACTAAAAAGATAGGTGAGGGGAGAGTCAAGAGGGTCACTGCAATGTATTTTGTTAAATTTAAACTAGGTTATAGGTAATTGGTAACACAATACATTTAAATTTCATTAAAATAACTAAGTTCGTTAGTTTTGGATTAATAGATTTTTTATTGCTGTGTAGTTAAAATATTGTACAGATGAAAATTATACAGAGAGAAAAAAATTAGCTCCGCTCTCCACTGCAGTGCAATCGTTTATCGGAGAGCAAGAGTACTTAGCTAAACTTTTTGAGAGACATAACAATACAACCGATATGACAATGATTTTCAATTACAAAATGTGAAAAAAAACTAATAAATACTAATTACTAATCAAAATGTACAGTAAATTATTAATACTAACAAAAAATTAAAGTGAAAAAAAAAGTTAAATTGGGGATACATTTTTAAAAGTGGATTAGAGAACAATATTTCAGTTTTAATTTTAAAATTATAGTTGGCTAAAATTATGTATCACATTTTTTTTTATCTACAAATACTTTAAAATATAAATCAATTTTTAAATACAACTTTTCCATAATTAGTATTTTTGTTTATTATTGTAAAACCTGTTTGTTAGCTTAAGCGTAGAATGAAGGTACCTAGTTAGTTCATATTATATATTATTAGGAATCATATCTAGAGATCTCAAACCAACTTTTAACTATGTAAATACATTTCTTTTTATTATTTATGATTGATATTTCTGAAAATTGTTTCTTTGTATTGTAAGATTGACCTTTAGATTTTATTGCATTTGTTTTAAAGATATAGCAATTGGCCTGTTTTTATTTAAATCACCATAATATCTAATACTCGAAACAGTTTGAATAATGCATTGGAGAAAAAAGGTTTTAGTTTGGCTACTGTTATTTTTATTAAGAGGACATATGCATCTGTTGTCTCCGTTTTACAAGTGCCCAACAGCTTAAAATATACGGTTTAAGATTTCTTGGTTGCTGTATAAACTGCTTATTATAATATATTTTACAAAAATTGCCAATAATTAGGTATAAATAATGACATTTCTTAAATTTCAAAATTTATAACCACAAAATAATTTGCAAGTAACAAAGTAAATAATCTTTAACATTCAAAATATAACTCGTGATATACAATGGAAACTAAGCGTCCGTAATACTTCTTGTCTTAATAATACTTCGACTATTTGTTCTTGTAATACTATCGAATGAGTTTATTCTATCAAATATCTAGGAATATATATTGGTTCCCAATTAAAATGGAACATACATATAAATTATATTATGAATTTAAGTCGTAAATTCTTTTATGTTTTTAAAGACCTAAGATATAATCTTGACAAACGACAACTTAGAATTATTTATATTTCCTTAGTCTAATTAATAATTTCTTTTGTTGTTGAGATATGTTGGGGGGGGGGGGGATACCTATGAAATTCACTTGAACAAATTAAGATCGACTATAAATAAAATTATTAAATTTATATTAAAGATTCCTATTATTACTTGTACTAAATTTATGTTTATCTATACAGAATTTAATGTGCTAGACTTTCATGAACTCCTCATGAAATGTACTTTACTGTTGACTTTTAAACATAAAATGTATGTACCATCTTGCTGCCATAATTATAATACCAGATTTAAAAAAAATATATTTATACGATTGTTCCAAATTGTAAAAAAACAATTTGGAGATAAAAGTTGCCTAAATCGTGCAATTTCACTCCACACGGGGAAGATTAATTTGGTATGAATTTCTGTGACATTGTGTTTCTTCTAATTTTCTTTAAAGGATAATGTGTATATAATATAATATTAATTAGGGATTTATAGAAATTGTTAACGTAACTACTATACTATACTTCCACTGGTTATATATTTATATATAATCAACGATACTACTTTTTATAACTATTTTATGAACTCACTACTTACAATACAATCATTAGCTTAAGGAAGGTGTGAAGACAATCATCATTAGTGTTATATAATTTATGTAATGTATTAACCGTTTGTTTGCAAAAATTATATATTCTATTCAATAACTACTTTTAATTTCGGTTGTAGATACAGGCAGTGGCGCCATTTGAGATTTTTAATAGTGGTGCCAAAATTTAAGCAGGCCAATTTTTTTAAATTTTTTTTTCGTAAAATTTCTTTAAAATATTAAGAATATAGATATTGTTTATATGTAAGTCTTTTGTATGGGGTTAAACTTTTGAAGGGTATATTTTAATGAATTCAAATTATTCATGAACTATTTGTTTGTCTTTTGGTATAGATCTAAAACTATTTAGTATAGACTATAGGTACCTATAATAGTAGCTAACCAATGCAATTTATTCCAAATAAAATTAATATATTATATTTTTTTATTAACATATTATAATAAATGATAAAACAATATTGCATATGGTATACATTAATTTTTAAAATGAATTATGCTACTCTAGCTTATACCTTCTACTTTTTAGCTTAGATAGTAAATCTATTTGCTGCTTCATCTAAATTTATTTTGTTAGCATCTTCTTTTTCTACCGCTATGACCATTAGATCACTTAATCGTCGTCTACGTACAAAGTACCATATCGTATCAGTGAACAGAACCGTAGTACTCAATTATATGAACCCTGAGTGGTTGGTACGTTTATTAATTTTAGTGACCATAATTATTATCATTATGGTGGTCTTATCACCACTCACGGCCCTCGAGTAAAAAGTTACTCTATGACTATTTTGGTTCTTTTATCGATTCAATTTCAACTGATATAAATTTGATAAAAAAACGATTGAACCTCGTTGGCGCATTGTAAATTGTAATCCAGGCCAACAAGACACAGAAAATAATAGGGAGCCAAAGAATACCCTGCCCCCCCCCAATGGTGCCCCTGGATACAGGCCGCAAAAGAAATTTTGATGTATGATAATGTGTACCAAACATAATCGATGAATTGTTCAATCGTCATTAATAAATAATAATTATTACGGCAAAAATGGTTTTATTTTGTTTTTTGATATACAGGACATTTATTTTACATGCATTATATTTACTCAGGATAAATTATTATATTTTCTGATAAAATTCTCAATGAGTTAACATTTATACAACAAATTAATAAATTTACAGTTTTAATACAATATCTTGTTTAACTTAGAGCGATCTATGATTTGTTGTTGTCGGTACTCCTTTGTGTTCAGGTGTTGAGCAGTGGTCGTCCGCTGGGCACCCCGATTTTGGTTGTTATTTGTCAATCACTATTTACAGAATTGTATGCTATGTAAACGATGTCTTGTTACAATCTCGTATTAAATATTTATGCTTTTTGACAAAACAAAAAATGTAAATGATGGCAATATAATGTCAAAATTGTTATCGCACTCTATTAAACTAACCTAGTAATCTTGTATATCATGATATCTGATATACAAACGTCAACAGGTGTAAATCTATCTACCTAAGTTTAGATGATGTCAGGAAAAATGTAATAAAAAATAAATAAATGAAATGAGAATTCGTTAATTTCCACTGCTGAAAATCCAACGTCAAAATAACCTAACCTACTTTTCAGTAAAAATTTTTTTGCCTACAATTACATTACAAACTAATAAAAAGTGGGAAAAATAGCCATCCTGTCCCCTAACCTAGGTTAGGTTAACTTCCAACCTAACTTAACCTAATCGAAGCATTATTTCTATTCGAAAAAATGTTTACAAACAGTAAAAAAAAAAACACACACACAAATATAATATAATATCTAATCTAATTATATCTAATATAAAATCTTAATATACAAATAAAAAAACTACTTAACATTATTCTAATTTCATATCTGATCGAATTTAAAAATTAAAAAATCTCGATCAATCAGAATTTGTTTAACTAACTATATTGTACTATACATATTTCCAACACTCACATAAATTGTGATTAAGATAATACGTTAATTATAATTGTACATTATACAATTGTTTATACTCTTTTACAGATTGTTGGTTGGGGAAAAACTGAAAAAGGCATTTCAAGTCCTATTTTATTAGAAGCATCTTTACCATACATTGACCATAGTTCTTGTCGGAATATGTATACAAACGGATTTGAATTATTTGTGACTGTTGATAAATTTTGTGCTGGTTCTGAATTGGGTAATAAAATATTCAAACATTAATACCATGAAATCATCGTTTTGTTTAACCTAGTTAACTTAAATGTATTAAACACTGAATATTGATGGTATTTAGACACTTTTAAAAATACAGACTAACTTAATTTATATTAAATAAATAAATCATATATTTTAGAATTATTGTAATTAGTTTAATAATACTAAGTATACTAATATAAATTAAGCAAATAAACTATATTCATACCGCGGGTACGTTATGTGCTACTTTGTCATTGATTCACATAATATAAATACCTACCCTAGTACAATTTTAGCTTAAATAATTATTAAAAAACAAATATTTGCAAGAAAATAAATTATAATAATTAATAATAATATTATTTATTTTATTTCTATTTTTTTTTTGACGCCTAAACGGCTTCGTCCATTCGTCCCTAATCGGATTAGTATAACTATTTTACCATAGATACCTCTTTATATATATATTTCTTTAAGTTACAAATCAGTGATAAAAATTAATATATAACAGTTTACTCTATAAAATTGATAGGTGACTGTCTGAATATTATAGTTAAATTACTTTGATTTTCATACACCCTCCCCCTTCACCACTCACTAAAATTTGTTCTGAATACTCCCATGCCTGTACTTAATTTATAATTTACAAATTGTTTATAGAAACGATAAATTGTTTTGTTGATAGATGATCAATAATTTAATATTTTACTATTATATTTTTATTGTATGGGTGATACAATGAATATAAGATACTACTTTTTAGTGACCACTGATCAGTAATTGATTGTATGATGTAGATAGAACCTTTTGATTTTAAGACTATAGTTAAGAACCAAACGGTTCTATTTTAATTGCTATCAAAAAACAAACATGTAAATTTCATTGATTTATCACCTTCAACTCTGGATAATTCTTTGAATTATATCCAAACTACGATCCTAACTATGATCCAAATATCATACTTTCCATTTCGGATGTGAGCTTGGATTTTAGAGCATTGGTCATTAAACCTGTGTGTGGTAAAAATCAGATTTTCAAAAAAAATAGATTTAGAACCTTTTGATTCTGAGCCCACGTATGTTATATTTTTATTATATTAGGTATAATGTTAATTAAAATTTCATTATAAAGGCCGTCCATAATACGACTGTACCATGATGATCTTAGTATACTATTTTTTTGGAAGTAGTTGATGAGTGATTCATTGAAGATTTGATAATCACACTATATAATTTTAATTTACAATGAAGTAATTAGTAATAATTATGGTTTGAAATTCATTATCAGTTACTTTCATCATAAATTTCATTGACATATTCTTGTAATATACTTGTATACGATTTGTAATTAATATATTTAATCTGCACTGTACCCACTATCCAATAACAATCTTTTGGTTAATTCAGGAATTATTCATAAAATATTTTTAGTTTCAGGACAAGGAGTAAATAAGGGAGATAGCGGTGCAGGATTAAGCTTTAACCACTCTGATTTTTATTATTTAACCGGAGTAGTGAGTATAAAGGATCCAGATACAAAAAACTCAATCGCTGTTTTTACCGAAGTTAAATATCATATTCAATGGATTCATGAACTCTACAACAAACATAATATCTAATTCCAATGAGATTAGATAAAATATTTTTTTTAATTTGTAATTGAAATCAATATTTGTATTAATCAGTTTTTACTTATGCGTAACAGTTTTTAACTAATAGTAACACATAATCATCATTAAAATAAAAACAGTACGTGTCATAAATCATAATACATAAGTAGTATCTAAGTATTATATACAGAGTGATCCAACAAGACAAGCATGGTTCCTCGACTGTTTCTTTAATTATGAAGTTGTCTTAATCTGATTTTTTGAATCTTTAAATATACACAAAGACCATTATTATAAATTCTTAAGATTTTTTCGATACTTAAGGAGTATCCTGTGGCCTTTTTTGATACGGTAAGATTAGCACCCTTAATCAGTAGTCGGCGGTCTGTATAAAATGATACCTATCTCGAACGAGTTAATAATTATAGTACATAAGCATAGACTGTGGAAGTTGGGTTGCCAAGTTATTCAACTTGACTTATGTTTCATTAATTGAGATTTTTTTTACTCAAACTAAATTTTTTTCGACTTGGCTTAGTTATTGAAATTAGATTTTTCTTTTGAATTTATATCATATACACCTCTATGGAGCAGGGCTAATATACACAATTGATAAATGAACAATAACAAATTTAATTGGAGCTAATTTGACATATGTATTATACCAATATACAACACAATTATATATTTGTGCAATGCTGACTATCAATGTAGTCTTATCAACAACACAAATAATCAGTACGGTTGTACAGGGGCGGGGAGTCATATTTAGTGGGACGACGATATATTGCCCTGCATTCGAACGTGCGAACGTGCTGTAATGTGGAGCAACGAATAACTGACAACGATTTATCGTAAGTACGACAGAAAAGTCGTAGAAGAAGAGCCTAACTATCTTTCTATCGAGAACACGTAGATCGTAGAGCAACGAGAGCTTCTGTTTACAATCATAATAAAACAAAACCATATTTTTCACTGTAGGAGCAAACCGCAACGGCAATACAAATTATGCTGTATCGCGTCAAGCGCGAGCACACGCCACACGGAGCAGACGTATTAGCAACAACAACGGCCGTAATAACGAGCGCCCACCCAAATGTAATGTTTGTGGACTCATTTGTCATTACTAATTAGTAATTACCTACCTAATCATTACTAATATTATTACTTATGATTATATTTTTATTCATTCATAGAATTATAGCAAAAACTTGGCCCGTCAGTGTAAACAATTCTAACCCGTAGTAGTTTGGTAGTTCATCGTATTTACTATTTACCTAATTAAATTAATACCAGGACGTTAATTCATTTTTGTTTTTAATAAGCCACCTAATAAACTGTTCTAGATTTTAATAGTGGTGTAGGTATAGGACATTAAGTCATAAACAAAATAGTCTGTCGAGTCTAGACTGTGTTATGTGTCATCGAAAATTAATTAATATTATTCACATTCTTGTTTTCATATTGCTTTCTGTAGAGTTGTGAGTTTTGACTTATTTATACTGATTTATTCGTCAGCAATCGTTTACCATTAAATGTTTTTTTTTTAAATTGAAAATCAAGCTGCTAGCTCATACATATAAGTTTATATTATAAGTATAACAAGTAGATATACAAATCAAAAATGTGCATGTTACTAAAGAATTAATTTATTTTAAAAAGAAAAAGATTTATTCTTGTTGGAAATGCACGATATCATATAAATTGACCAGTTACAGAATAAGTAGTTAATACTGTTAATAGTGTAAAACGGTAAAGAGAATGGATAGAGATTATCATGGACTGGAACTAAAAAGTATTATCTATTGAAATGTTTGGTTAATTATCATGGTTTTATAATGATAGTTAAAGTATGAATGCTTAAAAGCTTAGTTTTTTGTTGAATTATTTTACTTTTGACATTCATATGAATATATGATATACCAAATTGGTACACCTCACTAGGTACTGTCTACCAAAATGGTAAAATACAATACTAGTTTAATTGAATATTGTATTCTTACTATTAATTAAATAATATTTGATATTATATATTGTGTAACCAATTAATTTTATTCTAATAAATATTAATGAATTTGATTATTATAATATTTAGTATAGTCGTGGACCATTTACGTTAACAAATACAATATACATACAAACAATTTAATTATTCTATTGGATTTCATCATTGATTAAAGTATAATATACAAATACAAGTACCTACAGTAACTCATTTTATTACAAACATTTATTAAATTATTATGTTATTTGTTAGTTTTAAAAAAAGGTAGATAGGTACAACTATTAATTTTATTTAAAAAAAAGTAATTTATTTTTAATTAAGTTAAGTTACTTTTATTTTCTAATTAACTAGTAACTTTTACAAAATTTATATAATGTATAGAAACAAAAACCTAAGCTAACGTAATTTAACCTCTAACCTTGGACAAGGGTATTGGACAAAGTTGGCAACTTCATTTAAGAAATACTGAGTTACCGGCATATAAGGTCCTCGAAATATTTTTGGCTAGTCAATGTGTAGCAATGGAAAGCTCAGAAGCCGTATTCCTTGACGGAATGTCAAATAAGATTACTGCAACGAATAATGTTAAAACATTACATATCACATCACTGTAAAATCATTAGATTCACCCTTCGCTCAGAATTTAAAATAAATAATAAAAAAATGAGATTTTATGTTTAGGTAGGTACCTAATATAATAATATTTAAATTTAAAATAATACTTTTTTTTGTATTGGTCTTGAAATCATAAATGTCTTTGATTACTAAGGTCATCAACATTACATTTATAAATTATAACATTAGTTCAAATCTACGGAAACAGAGACAAAAAATACAGTTTTTAATTGAGCAATACAATCTATAAAATATTTATTTATTTTAAAATGGGTACACAAAAGTTATATTTCTGTTATGTGATTTAACATCGCTTATTTGAGGTCATCGTATTGGTGAAATGCATCTGAATCATATTAATGTTTAAGCATCCAAATGGTAGTGTAGATCAAAACAATATCTGGCAGGAGACCTTGGGTTTTCTATAAATAATTAAGTACATTAATTTTAAATTAGTGTGGTATTCAATTGTATTCAATTGTATATTTTTGTGATTAATATTATTACCTAGTACCTACAAAAAAAGGTTTACAAAAACTTACCTGATATTGCATTTAACTGGTGTTCTATGAAAAAAATAAAAAATAGTTACCTACTACACATTGTGATGTTTATAGTATTTTGATTTAAAAACTTGTTTAAAATGTATAAGGCTATATAACAGTTCTCCAACTTTCCAGCAAAAAAAATACAGAATCCTACAGTTTGTTTACTTTTTCACTAAACGACAAAACGTATGATCTTCAAATTGGTAATGGCACTTCCTCTTAATGTGCTCTAGAAAGTGTTGGAAATTGCTTATTTGTTAATATTATGCATTTTTTGGCACTCAAGAATCATCGAATATTTAACTCAGTGATTACTGATTTGGGTAATGCATACAAAGTTTTTCATTTGCTTACCTTTCCTATAGATTACAAATTGGCTATTCATAACTGTTAAGATTATTAGTACTTATGAGCACAGTTGTCATAGATTGCCCAGGTAGGTGGCTATATAAGTTCCATTCATTTTATAGCTTATCGTCGTGTCAGAAATTCACCACAGGTAGATTGTATAGGCATGCGCATACATGCATGTTGAGGGTGCCTACAATATTGTCGGGCTCTTTCTTAACAAGACATGTGCATATTAACCAGTGGTATAATATTATTATGACCAGTACCAAGATATATATTTCCTTGGATTTAAATATCTAATATCTATTTCTAAGATTATCGATTATCTTATTTGTACTTTTGTAATTAATAACATTTAGCTGTTAAAATCATAGTAAACTATGATAACCTTACCTAACCTACTATTCCATGCACATTTAAAATAATTTACCTTTTCATTACTTTTTGATAAATAAGGAACATGATTTATTTGTTACCACATGTCATAGAAAAATTGTAATTTTATTACAATAACATCAATTACAATACGTGCCCTATGCTATGAATTTTAAATTTTAGAACCCCAATTACGAAATGACGGGCTGTGCCTAGGCACACCCGGCACCCCAGTCCTGTTTTGGATTACCTTGGTAGATTGAATACCTACGTGACTAAGTGACACTTAAACATTCCCTTGAAGTGACAGATTTGCTATTTGACACTTGCTAGACACTCAAACCAGCTGTACACTTTTTATGAATAAAAAAGTACCGGATAGCGGCAGCACAAAAAGTACAGAATCTGCCATAGAAATGACATGTACATTTAAAAAAAACAAATCTATGCTAAGGTAACGCATTGTGGGGTAACTATTAAATTAATTTAAATAAGTTTCAAACACAAAAACTAAAGGTATACAATGTGAGACTAACAAAAAATATTGACTCAAAAATATAGGTACCTGTTACGATGTCCGGAATATTCAATTCTATTTCAATATTATAAAATAAATATTAATGTAACGTAATACAAACTTGACAAATACATGGTCGATTCATTGAACTTATCACACTCATAATTTCAAAAAGTTTCAAAATCGCTTGAAAATATTTTTTTTACATGGTTTCAAGTAAAAGATGTAAATAATGATGTGGATAAAAATATTTATTTTTTCAATGTTGTTTTTTAACCAGTAGAAACTTGATACGGTACACTAGCATTTACAAAGTACAAGTACTGCAACTAACCCGTCTACTTTCTGCCAACCACCACCACGTAGTCCACTCTCTCACCAAGCTGCAAGGGGGCAATGTGGGATAGTGAAAGCAATAGTCATGTCAGATGAGCACCGGAAGCATGTAATCGTCTCGCTCTTCTATGCGTACTGTACTTAAGTTGTACCGACAACGTGTCGACAAATCATCCTCGTATTATCCATCACAATGTTACTACATTGTCAAACCATTACATTTTATTGTCATTATTAAAACTTTACTATTTCCCCCTCCGAGTGTGTGTAAATTCTGTGCATTACCTGCCACCTCCACTACACCTAACATTACGACCAGACTCCCACGACGAACCAAATCGCCGTACCGCGTCTAATTGGCTCCCCTCGGTGGAATCGTATCAAGTCAGCGAAAAGGATGGACTTCTTTTTCACGTGGACACAGCCTTGGATTACTTGCTTATATTATTTAATGTTAAGATATAAACCAGGAGTGTGTTTTTCGGTTAGCTTGGATCACCAATTTATAATAAGTATTCTGCAGGTACGAAGGGAATAACCTAACCTT